CCCAGCTCTGTCTTCACAGCCCTCATCAAGAGCATACTCAGCTGCTTTGTGGGGATGGCACAGGCACAGTCTCAGTTCCAGCACAGGCTGAAACTTGCTTCATTGTTCTGTGAGGTTGCTGCATATTTTGTCTGGTTAGCATTAGAAGTTGTGAGAGACTGGAATATGCTTAGCAGTAGTGTAATTAAGAGTGGTGGGACACTAACCACAGATGTTGAGTTAGAGAAAACACCAGAATGTTGAGCTCCCAGGGAGCCTGGTGCCCCAGAAACAGCCCTGTGTGCATGGGACTGCACTGTGGAGGAGCAGCTATGGTCAGTAAAAACTCTCTAGTGTTCGGAACACCCCCACCCCCCCCAGCCACACACACATACACCTAGAACAGCAAAGGGCATGCCACTGACACAGCCTCCATTTCAGATGTCATGTCTGTACTCCAAAGCATAGGAGCATTAAAGCAATTCAAAAAAAGTTCACTAGGATTTATTTTCTTTTTTAGTACAGGTTTCCCTCATTTTATGCGGGTTATGTATGTGTGATTTCGCTCTTGTGCGATGACCCTTTTTATACCAAAAAATTCATTGTATGCAAGGTAAATTCACTCTTGCTATCTGTGTGGTGGAAGCCCGCAGTCAGGTGCTTTGTGCGATGCATTGCAGGAGTGCCTCACACCAAAATATAGTCTCCCATGTGGATCCTCGCTTGTTGTCTGCGACACATGTTTCTATAGTTGCCATCCCCATTATGATAGTGCCCTGTGCTTGTGTGCACTGTTTGCTGTTGGTGAGCACCAAAATTGTCTTGTAAAACTGGTAGAAATGAGTTTGGGTGTCAGTACAGTCAAGGTCTTGGAACATGTCCCTATGTGTTACATTGTAAAGTGGGTTCCCTTTATGCGAATTCGAGTTATGCACTGTTTTCCAGGAATGCATGTACAGCATAAAGCGAGGGAAACCTGTATTGCGAAACAATATACTTTTTCCCTACTCCAGGTGGGTTGTTGTTTGTTTTTTGGGGGGAGGGAAGGGGGGTTCCTCAGCAATTGCTGAAACTTTGTCTTAAACTTTACAAAAAATACTTAGCGTGGGGCACGCAGGTTATGGAAAACTTCAAGCAAAATCTTAAAGTTTGCAAAGTTGTATGTAATTGAAAATGGGAAATGTTGGGTAATCTTATAATAAGGTGGCAGTGCTGCCTACAGTGACATAAATGCCAGAATATGTCATTTGCATTGTACTTACATTCTTGAAGGGGCTATTTTCTAGAAGCCTTTGAGAAACTCTGGAGCGCACAATTTGTGTTTTTGCTAATTGTGGTAAAGTGTGCTCATCACTGGGAACTCAGCTGGATCTAAGGACCAGTACAGAGAGGGGCTGTGATTCTTGCATGCTCGTCTCCCTCTCTGCACAAGGGCCAAGAAAAATGAAGCTTTTACTCTGTGTTCGTATGTTTGTTTGTTTATATATGTTGAAGACGGAGAAAAATGTATTTTCTATGCATTTTTAAAGAAATGTATCTAGTGCAACTAAATCTGTTCCTTTTTAGATTCGATCAGATTTTGAGGATTCTAGTATAATTACATACAAAATTTCTGGCCCAGGAGTGACAGAACCACCTTATGGACTGTTTGTTATCAATAAGAGAACTGGAGAACTGAACATAACAGGAATAGTTGACCGAGAACAAACTCCAATGTTTTGGGTAAGTTGACTCAACAGACTATAATGTTCTCTTTTTTTTTTTTATACAAGCACTTTCTTCTCATTTTTTCAAGTTAATGCCACTGCTTTGTTTTAATGTCTCTAGACTTCTCAATTGCAAAATGAAAATTAACAGTCTAAAACTATGTAGAGATATCCATATTCCTGTTTATTTCTGTATTATTGCAGCTTAAAGGTCAGGCATTCGATGAAAGTGGTCACGAGTTGGAAAATGCACTAGACCTCAGAATTAAAGTTTTAGATATAAATGACAACTTTCCAGTGTTTTCCCAGGAAATTTTTGTTGGCTCTGTGGAAGAGTTAAGTGAAGTAGGTAAGATACTATTTATCTAACTGTTAGCATATTAAGTAATGTTGCTGTGTGGTCACTGACTCATCCTCCCAATACATTTTTCTAACTGCTTTGTCTACTTTTCACCATTTCTAAACTAGAGAAATGGCAACTCCTCTGTTTGATTTTATTTATTTCCTGAAGAAAAGACGACAAGAAAATATACATAAGAACACTGTTTAGTGACAGTTAAGATTGCTGCAGAATACAACCTACCAAGTCAAAAATGTGAAAAGCAGTCAAATGGGAATAAAGGTCATGTATTTGTTGCCTACAGCTCTGCTGATAGCACAGTTAACACTGCATAAATCTCCATATCTGCCTCCATTGGACATCAAAAAGTAACATGGCCATGAGCTTCATTAGTCTGCAGTGTAGTGCATCATAACCATAACAGAGACCCCTGGTGTTATAATATTAAACATCAGCTTGCTATTCACATCCATACATTTGGGGAGTAATTCTACTTTAACACTGCTGAAGTCAGCAATCTATGTAGGGACTCTGTAATCAATAATGTTAGATAGTAAGTCTCATTGATTGATCCAATTGTGGAAAAGATGCTAAATAGTGTTGAAAAAAATGAGAAAGTAGCTTCCTCAGTTTTAAATAAAGCAAATTGCTGACCTCATGTAATTCTGCTTAGGAGCAGTTTTGCTTATTCAAGTCTGGCACATTAAAATTTGGGCTATAGAAGGGCCCAGTGCAGTGTGACTGGTGAATTGGGTGAGCAGTTGTAGAACACATAAGCAGATAGAGTCCATGTGTGCCTGTGAATACTGCAAGTGGACTTCTCGTTGAGTTTTGCTGAGCCCAGCATATGCATAGTGACAAGTGGGTGCTTTGTGATGAGTTTGAGGCATCCAGTAGCCACTAAGGAGAGGTGTGCAGGGATTCCATTTTCTCTGTCTCAGTAGTAAAAGCAGATTCCATACCACCTTTCCTGTTTCAGTTCATCATGCAAGGCCTCTTTACATGGGATTTCTCAGGAGCTTAGGGAATAATATATTTTGTTCTGGCTGAATATGGAGTGATCCAAAGCCCAATGCAGTCAGTGGCAGTCTTTCTGCTGATGTTGGTGGGCTTTAGTCTTTAGATCCGGCCCTGTGGGAAAAGTGCTGAAAAGGAAGGTTAGGGATAAACAGGCCAATTAATCCTTTATACTCATGAGCAAATCCAGGATTTTAAAAAGGAGGGTACAGGACCAGCAACTGGTGCTTTAGGATCAGGGATGCAGCCACCCCAAGAAGTTTCCCCATCCTTCCCCCAACTGGAGCGGGGAGACCATGCAACAAGGGACTTTTTTTTTTTTTTAAAGTCCCCAAAGCAGGTAGGAATCTTCTCTTTGCCCCCTGCAGCCCCTGGTCCCTTCCACTGCTGCTGTCCCCACCTGAGCCCAGTTAGATGTGTAAAGGGGCAGCTTTGATGCTCCTCCTGCCCTAGGTCAGTTAGGGACAGCAGCGGTGGGAGGTTGGAGAGGAGAAGAGGGGAGGTTCTGCACAATGTGGAGGGAGAAGGAGGTGCTGGAGGTGGGGGTTACCTGCTTCAGGGTCTTAGAAAAAGTTTCATAGTTGGTAGGGTCAGAAGGGACCTGAGCAGAACATCAAGTCTGACCCCCTGCCATAGACAGAAAGAATGCTGGGGTCAAACGACCCTGGCAAGGTGCCTATCTAGCCTCCTTTTGAAGACCCCTAGGGCAGAAGCGAGCACCACTTCCCTTGGAAGTTGGTCCCAGATCCTAGCCACCCTGACTGTGAAGTAGTGACTCCTGATTCATAGATGTTAGATTCATTCATAGATGTTAGGGCCGGAAGGAACCTCAATAGATCATCGAGTCCGACCCCCAAATATATCTAGCCTGAATCTACTGTCCACCAATTTTTGGCCATTATTCCTTGTTACTCCCGGTAGCGCTCGGGGGAACAGGGACTCTCCCACTGCTTGCTGGTCCCCCTTGGTCAGTTTATATACGGCCATCAGATCCCCTCTCAGCCTTCTCTTGTGAAGGCTGAACAGGTTCAGGTCCCGTAGCCTCCCCTCATAGGGCCTGCCTTGCTGCCCCCGATCATGCAAGTGGCCCTCCTCTGGCCCCTCCCAATGCTGTCCACATCCCTCCTGAAGGGCAGCACCTAGAACTGGATGCAGTACTCCAACTGTGGCCTGACCAATGTCGCATAGAGGAAGAGGATCACCTCCTTGGACCTGCTTGCGATGCATTTATGGCTGCATGACAAGGTGTGGTTAGCCTTCCTGACCACGTCCCCACATAGTCAGCCCACGTTCATCTTGGAGGCAATAATGACTCCAAGATCCCTTTCTGCCTCTGTGCTGACGAGAAGGGAGTTCCCCAGCCTGTAGGTGTGCTGCTGGTTCTTCCTCCCTGGGTGTAGTACCCTGCACTTGTCAGTATTGAAACCCATCCTGTTCTCATCCACCCACCCCTGTAACCTGTCCAGATCTAATTGCAGCCTGTCCTTCTCCTCTAGTGTGCCCACTTCTCCCCACATCTTAGTGTCATCTGTGAATTTGAACAAGGTGCTTTTCACCCCCTCGTCCAAGTCGCTGATGAAGATGTTGAACAGTGCGGGCCCGAGGACGGAGCCCTGGGGGACCTCACTGCCCACATCCCTCCAGGTTCAAAATGACCCATCCACCACCACTCTCTGGGTGCAGCCCTCCAACCAATTAGCAACCTATCTGACGGTGTAGGCATTGACACCACAGTCACCTAATTTTTTAATGAGAATGGGGTGACACACAGTGTCGGAGGCCTTCCTAAAGTCGAGAAAGACTATGTCCACTGTGACACCTACGTCTAAGGATTTTGTGACCTGGTCGTAGTTGCTGCTCGTGCAGCACAGTGTGAAAGGCAGGGGGGTATAACCATATCACTGCACTTTCTCTGGATCTGCATACTATTTATGCTGTATTCATCCCTGATGGGGAGCAGAGCTGACCCAAACAGGGTGCAGGTCCAGGCCCTGCCCCCACTCCAATCCCATGAGCTCCAGACCTGAAGAAGCTGCCACTGCCATCAGCAGCATTGGCAGCAGGGGGGGGAGCGAGCAGCTGGATGCGGGGGTGCCTCTCCACC